ATGGCGGATACCGAAAGACAGGAAATCTAATGACCAGATGATTGATGTCCGCAGCGTTCTCGCCAACTTCAACTTCACGAGTACCATGCGTCAAAATCTATATGCTGTTGGAGAAGTCACTGTAACATTGCTCTGCATGTGCATACGGCATCTGTGGCTCGCTATGGTCGTAGATCTAGAGGAATGCCGAGGCGTGGGATCTAGCTTCCTAAAATGCCCGCCAGCGGCCATCACGCCCAAAACAGGCAGGTCAAGGATGTGCACCAAAACGGTCGAGTCAACCGAGTTCGTTCGCACTTTCAGATGGAGACAACCCGTTTTTCGCGAACCCTCACATCATACGCGGTGGCCCATGTCGACTCTGCCCGCACCTCATCTTAGCCTGCCAGCGAAACCCACCTTCGCGGCCGCAGTGCTGCCTTCTAGGCCCGACAATGCGCCTGCAGCGACGGGTGCAACTCTAGGATCAAGATCAGGGGCGAAGAGAGACACTCGCGAGGAGTTGCTCACGCCATGGCTGGAGCGCTTGCCTGTGACACAATACAACTCTACAGAGCAGCGGTGGGTGCCAGATACGCGTGTTTGCGGCTGACAGCGCGACTGACACGTTCATCCCAGGCTGCACGATGAAATTGTGGCGTTTATGAACTATGCGACGCCAAATGCCACAGAGCGCACTGTGCGCGAGAGACTCATTGCACGGCTGACTGAGATTATCCAGAGACGTTACTGGTGTTCAGACGTCAAAGTGTTCGGTAGTATGGCACAAGACCTATCTCTTCTCAGTGGGTAAGTGCTCGCCACTCCGCAGGCGCGGGGTCCCTAGGAGCGTCCACAGAGACATCGATATCGTGATTAATACGCCTATGGTATCCGGAGACGAAAACCGAAAGCGCGGTCTATCTCAGCTATCCAGGATGTTGCGGGACTCAGGCTTCTCGCATAACACCTTCGTGGTCAAGAACGCTCGGGTCCCAATCCTAACATTTGAGACCACTCCTGAACTCGGCGAGTAACTCTATGAACTGGATGCGCTTGCACTCATATTGGCTCGTCTGTGCAGGCTCAGTGAAGTTTGACTTAAGCATCGATTCCACAGATGGTCTGAAAGTCATTTCCAGGGTTCAGGAGTACCTCGACACCATGCCTGCGCTGCGTCCACTGATCATGGTCATCAAGATGTTCCTCGCTGCCAAGGGTCTTCATTCCGCAGGGACAGGTGGACTCGGAAGCTACGCGCTCACTCTGATGGTCATCAGCTTCCTCCAGGTGCGCGAGTGTACTGTTTGTCCTTGCTAGACCTAAGGCAGCTTACATTTATGCAGCTCAATCCCGGAAACCGACCCATTGAGGACCATGCGAATCCTATGGCGGCCGAATCTCTGGGATGCTTGCTCATGGACTTCTTCGACTACTACCACGACAGATTTCCGTATGAGACTTCGTACATCTCTGTTCTTGACCAGAAACTCGGCAGCAAAGAGTCAAAATGTTGGGTACGAGAGAAATACCCCGAGGCTCTCGCCGTCGAATCCATTATTAGCCCCGGTATGTTTCATCCGGCCCTTTCGTTCTGCGCAGCAAGCTCAGCTGACTAACGGCGAACAGATCTTGACGTCGGCAGAGCCTGCCAAAAGATCGCGCGCATACGCACAGCATTCGGTGAGGCCTACGAGACGCTAAAAGCGTACAGGGTGAACGGAGTGGTCACGGACCCCAGCGGCCGCGAGAGGGTCGTATGGCATGGTAATGTGCTCGGTAGCATTCTTGGCGTCACGAACAGCGCTATGCAACACCGCAGAGATCTCGAGGACCTCCTCACCAGCGGAGCACTTGACGTCCAGCTAGCCAGGGTCATGCTCCCCGAGTCGTGGAGTCGCGAGCCACAGTGGTCGCCGGACAGGCCCGGTGAGGGCTCCAGCTCGTTCTCTCGGGGCGATTTTCTTGGTAGGGAACGGGAGCGATATCGTGGAGACCGTAGGGAAGGCGGCCGTTACTCCCCTGGTTCACACCGTGACTCTGCGCCTGCATATCAACGAGCTCGTTTACATCCTGAGAGTCGTGACCCTCACTATTATCCATACTACCCTCGTGACTCTCGCTGCCCTCGGTAACTTCGCATTATTACATGTATTCTCTCCTGCTTGTATGTGGAAAATAGCATAGTCGCACAGACCCAGTATATTGAGAACAGCCTACTACTGCACTCCGGCTTGATATTGAAGGATACCAGTGCTAGCGCATAGTTCACTGTGCAGGCACTACAATGCCTCTCACAAGGCATCAAGTTCCACCGCAAGCAGCTCATGAAAATCGTCGCTATATGCTATACGCTCGACTACCTCACGACGCCGGGCCCTCACTTCGGTGCTTGAGTTACCGCCATTTCCTATCTTCGTGGCGCGGAATTAGCCGACTACAGGCGCTCCGTTATACACGACAGCAGGTCCCGAAGCCACCAGGATCATGAACGATCACATTAAAGAGTCTAGTCAAACATGCGGCTGGTCGTAGCGGAGCGCCAACGGCCAGCAGCCTCGTTCGGAACAAGCAGCCGTAATGACCGCCGCAGTGCTTGCGTCAAATTAACCATTAACACAGCTCGGAAATGGGGTATGCATCACACTCAGCACTATGTAGAGCACGCTGCTTTTGTGCCACGAAGCCCTAGAGCTTGCGTCTCTTGCCGACGCCGCTGTGATTTGCTGCAGCGCTCTTCCGCTTCACGCTCTCCACAAGACTCTTGAGATTATTTGATGATGCGTTGTCGCCGGCCTTCTTCGGCTGCGCAACAGCGTTAGGGTCGCCAAGCTTCTCCTTCTGCCGCTTAACGCGCTCCTCAAGTAGGGCAGACATGCTCTTCGTCTTCTTAAAGCTGCATGGAGACGTCAGTGGGGAGCTGCGTGCGGGGCTAGCGGGACTACTTACTGAGGGTTGCTCGGATCGATCGCAAACGTGTGGTCCTCGTGCAGTGCCTTGAACCGCTCGTCCTTCACGTCGATTGCGAAGTCCTCCTGAAGCTCTTGTTCCTCCTCATCGCCTTTCCCGCCTTTCTTGCCCTTCCGCTTGTTGCCCTTCGACTTCTCCGCCTTAAGCACGGCCTTCATGTCGAAGTGCCTCGGCTCCGCGTGTGGGTCGTCCGAGATCGCAACGAGAGCGAGCTCCTCCGCAGTCGACATGACTTTCTTGCCCTGCCTCTCCGGCTCGTCCTCCGCATCCTTTTTGCCCTTGCGGTCATTTTTACTCTTCTTCCCCTTCTTCTGCTCTGGCTCACTCTCGTCATCGCTCTCGTCACTGCTGTCTCCACCAAAGAAGTCGTCGTTGAGGCCGCTGCCCTTCTTGGGCGCGTCCTGTTCCTGCTTCTTGTCTGCACGCACGACCTTGCGCTTCTGCTTCTTCTCCTTCATCTTACGCGCATATTTCTCGATCGTCGTCTCCTCCGCCTCGTCCTGCTGCTCGCTTAGGCCTGGTGTGAACGTGATCTCCACATCGACGTCGCCCTCGTCGTCCGAGATGCCTTTGTTCCAGCCCTCAGGTAGTGTGTCGTCCCCACCACCGAGCAGCAGCGCGCGTAGCTTCTCGCGGTCAGCCTTGCCTTTGGTGCGTTGTCCTCACCCTCTGACTCTGTTGACGATGCCAGATAGACACGGAAGTCATTCTCCTCAATCTCTTTGCGAGTCAGCGCTCGTCGTGTGACCTGCAAACGTTCAGGGTCGTCGTCATCCCAGGTAAGCTTTACTTTCGAGTGTCGCAGAGCGTCGGTGGTAAAGTCCAGTGGCTTATACGGAGCGTTGACATCCTCCGTGGCTTCGTCTCTGAGCTCGCCATCGAACGTCATTTCGTCTGGCACGAAACTAAGGTCGAAGACGTTAGCAGAACGTTCGAGCTCAGTGCCTTCGAGTTCGTTGTATATGTGTGATGCCGCCTCGACAGTATTGCACTCGACGATAGCATAGTAGTACCTAAGCAAAGACATAAGCGGTGCCCGATAAGCGACTCCAAGAGAACACACCTTAGCCTCTCAAGCTGGTACTTCCGCAACGCTGCCTCGTTGTAATCCTCTGCATCACCGACCTCATCCCTATCTTGGGAATTAAACAATTCCGGTGGTGGACCCTCTTGTTCCTCCCTCGCGAGACGTTCCTTGCCGAACTCACTAGGGTACACGCGCACGCTGAGGATTTTCCCCCGTACAACGCGGTTTCCACCCTTCGTCCTCCCACTCTCCTTCGACGAGAACGCAGAAGGGGCTGATGCAAGCGTGGATCCTGTCGGCGAAACAAGGGACGAGAAGATCTTGTACAAATGCTGCGCCTTGACATGGTCCCAATCAAGGTTCACGACGGCAAGACGTCGCGTACGGTCTGTATCAGGCGTTGTATCTTCACCATTATGTTCCTTTGCATACGCCGTCGCCTGCGCATCGAGGTCTGCGAAGCTATCTTCGTCGAGGTCGATCTCGGGCTCGTCGGGATCTTCGAAGACGTGCCTGCGCTCCGTACGCCCGAGCGTGACGACGCCACCCGAATCGCTCTCGTTATCCTCATGGGCACTGCCTATGTCATCCTCGTCCGATGACTCGAGCAAAACCTCGCCACGGGCGTAATCCGGCCGTTTGGGGGCCTCCGGCTCGGCCTGCACCTCCTCTTCCTCTTCCTCCTTGCCCTCGAGCCGGTAAAATCGCTTCAGATTGTCCTGATCATGCGTCTCCGATACCTGTCTGCCATACTTATCGACACGCCCTGAGAGTCAGTTAAGTTTTCGCCCCGACACAAAAGCGAAAGCGGGCGCACCTTTACCCTTCCTATCCTTCTTCTTGCCCTTGCTCCCGTCGAAGATGCTCTTGAAACGCTCGTCAACGACGACCTTAGCCTCCTTCTTGCGTATTTGCCTGAAGCGAGGGTCGTTCTTCAGCCGGGCAAAACGTGGGTCGGGCATAGTTCGTGCGAGGGAGAGCAGAGGCAGGCGCTTGCATCACTAGTAGAATTTGAGTTGACTGCCGCCATCGGGCGGGAGCTTTGATGCGCCATCGGTCTTCTCGACCGAACTTATTCGGACAAACTACATAGTACCAGTCAGATGCGACAAATTTGAAGCTCGACTTTTGTAAGTGACAATTCTGACGCCTGATCAGCTGCAATAGCTTGTCGACTTCGTATGGCGAGATATATGCGAGCGACACGCATAGTGGTTGAGACCGCGGCACTTAACTCATGATCGTCCCAGCCCCAACCGTACCTGCTGCGCCGAGTTGAACTAAAAAGGAAGTACCACAAACGACATACGGACAGTGAGCGCAGATAAATATGATCTGGTCATTCACCGAGGCATAACTAGATCATGGACCGTAAACATTCACAAATACAATACAGCTAATGAACACGAATGACGTCGGGTAGCAAGAAACTGCAGGACATATATAACACTGAGAGCTCTCAGTCCGCTCTTGAATAAGACCAGCACGTGCCGGGTTTACTTAAGCACGCTCGCCACGGAGGCGACGGGCAAGGGCCTGCGCACGGGGCGGGGATCAGTCAGCATCATCGAAGGAGCAATAGCAGGGGTACTAACCAGGTCCTTGGGCTGGATGGTGACACGCTTGGCGTGGATGGCGGCCAAGTTAGTGTCCTCGAAGAGCGAGACGAGGTAGGCCTCGGCGGCCTCCTGTAGAGCCATAACGGCGGAGGACTGGAAGCGGAGATCCGTCTGCGGTAACAGTCAGCACAAGTCACTGGGGCGGGGTGCAATGCTGCGCACCTTGAAGTCTTGGGCAATTTCACGAACGAGACGCTGGAAGGGGAGCTTGCGGATGAGGAGCTCGGTCGACTTCTGGTAGCGACGGATTTCACGGAGGGCAACGGTACCGGGCCTGAAGCGATGAGGCTTCTTCACACCACCGGTCGCAGCCTGCAACGAGTGAGCAACGTGGTCAGCGCGGCGCTGCTGCGGAATATGATGATGCGACGTACGGCGGTGGCGGCGGTCTTGCGCGCGGCCTTAGTGGCGAGCTGCTTACGAGGGGCCTTGCCTGTATAAGGGAAACAACGGTGAACATCGAGAACGACATCGAAACCATTGTCATCAGCGTACCTCCGGTAGACTTGCGTGCAGTTTGCTGGGGGCGGTGATAAGGTTGTCAGCGCCGTTGTCGGCGACGACGGGCCATATCAACTGTCGACGCACCTTAGTACGGGCCATATCGACTAGATTGAGGCGTTAGAATAAGTGGATAGACGTGCGAGGGGCGGGCAACGGCTAGAGTCGTCGAGAAGATGAGTGTTAGCGGTGAGGAGGCGGTTGCGGGGAGTGGGGGCCTTTCGCAACAGACTGTCGCCTTTTCCTGCACTCTCCGATGGCTCCTTTCCCACGCTGAAACAAACTCTTTTATGTCCCCGCACGTCCAGAACTTCCGCTCGAGGCTCAGTTACCTTGACCCGCCGTTTCCCATCCGCCGAGTCGCTCAAGCATGTATCTAGCATTTTTCTAAGGACCAAACAGAGTATGTAGACATGCTCCGCAGGATCTTCAGAGTGAGCGAGCAGCGACTATGGTGCAGCAACGAGAAAAGGCGGAAAGACCAAGCAGCGCCTTTCGGGGAACGCGCGTCTATAATGTGCGCACGGGCCATCACTTTTGTGCAAGGCTTCTGCCGTACTGTGGCGTTGAATCGATATACAAGCCTATTTTCCTCTCGTCAGTCCCAGACTCTGCTATACATGTACCACTCTGCAAATGGCTTCAGATCAGTCTCACTCTTGCAAGATTGTCAGGCTCGTCAAGAGTAGAGACAAAAGCCTGAGCCTGGTAATGCTCTATGCAAGCCTCGCACACTGTGTAACTCCTTTACTCGGAGTATTTTTTAACATATATACTTTGTTGCGCGCGTAGAGATTTCAATGGCGACATTGCGCCACTCAGAAAGATAGAACATATGCTGTGTTTCGACTTCATATAATCAGCAGGCATGCGACGATGGTGATTACTCAGTGCGTTCCCTCCCTTTCCCCGCCCGCAGGTGAACCATACCAGAATGTTCTTTGATGACATTCTTAGGCCTTAAGCCTGATAGGGCCACTTTCCTTCGAACTCCAGCTACTTGACCGCATCCTTCGCTTTGCTCTCGCGCCAGGAGAAGCACTCTGCATTCCGTACGCGTCAGATGGCCCGCCCGGACTAGCTATCAGACGATCCAGGACATGCACGTTCCGCCGTCACCAGGCCCTGCATCCGTTTATCTCTTTGCTCAGCATCTTGCGCTATGCGTGCACCACGAAGGTCGCATGGCCACTCGCGCTGTAGCTCCGCTTGTTCAGTTCCGTGCACCACCTAAAACATCATACGCCTTTGGCTCCCAACACGCCCTAGATCTCCCATGTGCTTGCACGAGTTTATACAACTATGTTTCATTTAAACAGAAAAACATCCGAGGCAAGAAGATACGGTTCACGTCCTAGGACCATGCTTTACCATACAGACGACCGTTGCAGTCGTAAACGACGCGGGCAGGACAGGAATTCATCTTATACAGAGAATCACTGTACGCCCCTAAAATGAAAGATGAAGTTGGCAAATACAGCCCCAAATGCCCAATTACCAAGTCTTTGCGGTATGAATACATACGTCTATGCGGCCCACCCTATCCTGAAGAGTGTGTACCCGCTCTCGTCCGCCCTCCCAATCCCTCCATGCTTCGCAATGCTCTCCTTGCTGAAGATCACCAACCCCTTTCCCTGCACAGTAGTACTGCTCTGGAAGACCGCCTCAACAGTGTTCCCCATTCCCTCGTGGCGGCCCGTCGAGCGCAGGGGTATGATGAGCCAGAACACCCCGTTCTCGCGGAGAAGCCGCTCAACGCAGCCTTTGATCCAGCGGGCGTGATCGGGGTGGTAGATGACGTCCGCGGCGAGGACGACGTCGAATGGTGCGTCTAGCGGTTCGTCGTACCTCGGATCCTGCCAGTCCAGTGCGTGCACGTCCACGCGTGCGGCCACAGCCGATGACGGCGATGTAGGGGGGAAGTTGGTCACAATGTTTACGCGCAGGTTCGCAAGCACGGATGGATGGTAGTCCGTCGCGACGACCTCGGCGTCCGGACAGAGCTTGGCAGCCGCAAGACCGAGGAGGCCCGTGCCCGCGCCAAGTTCGAGGACTCGGAGTGTCCTAGGGCAAAGTCCAAACAATGCAGGCGCGGCGCACATGCGCTCGGCGAAGACGATGGCACTACCCCAGCTCTGCAGGCCGACGGACGTGTGGTCCGTGCTCGAAAGCGGTGCGTCATTCAGCTTGACGTGCACGGTGCCGGCAGGCGACGGGAAAGAGAATGTGCGTGTGAGGCCAGCATCCGGGGCGTCCTCTTCGTCGTCCTCCGCTCCTGTGAACGATGCGAGCAGCGATGCGGCGGCGTCCACGAGCGCCGTGCGCGCATCTTCTTCGTCCGGCAAGGCATACGTCCAGGTGTCGGAGCGCGCAACGAAAGTGGTGAGCCAGCGCACTGTAAAGTCGCGCTCGAAAGGGTCTTCGCGCAGCGCGTCTAGGTCAAAGGTATCTCCATCCTCTGAAGCAGCGCCCGAGAGATCCGAGTCTTCTTCGGCGGAGGCGTAACCGGAATCGGGCACAGAAGCGTCGTGAATGAGGTGCTTCGGAAATACTTTTGTCGGCCCGGGAAGGGTAGGGAGCGTGCGAGGGGAATAGATTGCTTGGAGGTTCTGGATGGCTTGCTCGATGTCGTCGGTAGAATAGCGCGACAGCCGTGCCAGCGGTGGGAGGTTGGACGTCGGCGCAGTAGGTTTGGTCATGACAGTAGACGTTAAAATGCCTCTAAATGCGTCTAAAAATCTAGGTAGTGAATATCTATGCAGAAAAAATGGAGCGATGTTGCGTCTAGAGGGTATCTTCTAGCACCGAAAGCAGCGAGTCGAAAGCGGGAAACGCGGTAGTGAGGGTAACGGATGCTACCCTCAGCAATTATAACAAGAGGAGAGGCATTTTGGATGCTGCAGGTGAAGGAGTAGGTCGAGGAAAAAGTCAGCAAAAACGAGGACACAGCCTATCTGTCAAAAATGTGGAACCGGCCGTTGCCGAAGCACGTGCCTTCGCCGAGATCGCATCTTGCGCGTGGCGTTTCGGTCCGTCTTTGGGGCTGGCCATCCGTCTCTTCCTGTTCGCCCCTGCACTCGATATGAGTCGGAATATCAAGATAACGTACGACCTGAAGGTGCCAGAAGGCACTTCTGCTCCGGCGCTCGATAACCCGCAGACGCTGCAGTTCCCGGTCGCCGAGAGTGCGGACATAAAAGTATACTATTCAGGCTTGAGGGAGAGCATCGAGCGGGCCAAGAACACAGTGGGAGAGGAGCTGACGGCGTGGAGAGATGCAGTAGGGAACAGGGAGCAGTCGAAGGAAATGAAACTAGCAAAGAAGGACGAGGAAGAGGGGGACGAGGACGACGATGAAAATGAAGACGAAGCGTGAAGCCGAACGATTACTCTTTGACCGCGGGGGTTATGTAGGTTTCTCCAAGTTCACGATTAATTTGAATTGTGTTGAATTATTCATAGACATGATTGCGCCGGCGAGAAAGCTAAGTACATACCATGGTGGGAGCGTCCGGGTGGATAGGCACTATGCTTCATATTCGCTGGAGAACGTTATACATTGATGCAGGGACCTGCAATTCGTTCCTTATACACAGCAGCTACATGCACATTTACAGAATTGACATGATTCGGAGACAACCAAACATCACACAGGGTAGGTTTTGAGATCGCTCCAATGAGGACTAAGTGAGAAAAAGATGCCAGTTGGAGGACCAAATCTACCGACACAGCTCAGACAAGTCACTTGCGTAGGCACGCCTATTTCCTAGCCGAAGTGGAAGCCTGAGGCTGAGTGGCGATAGTGACGCGGGCGGCATCCACGAGAGACTGTGGCAAATTGCTGGCTCGGATGAGCTGCTCCCACCAGGAAACCCCCGCATGGCCGTTTTTATCCATGTAGGACTGCATGAGGGTCAGTCTAAGCTTTGCGAATTCTTGGACGACGAAAGTGACAGTTTGCATGTCCGGACCGAGATGCGCTAAGTGGTGCTGGGTAAGCGCAAGACGACGGTGCAGACAGAGACCCATCGCGAAGTCGAAGTCAGACACGTCGTTAGACTTCTTCTCCCACATTTTCTGAGGGTTGGGATCGTTTCTCTCTAGGGCGCTCTTCAGCTTGCCTGCAAGTAGCGTCGGGAGATTTAGGGACGGAACAATGTTACTGGGGTCCACCATTTGGCGTACGTCGAATGGGTGCCAGAACAGCTGAGCATCGACAAAATCGACTTGGACAAGCGTGCCAGTTGGTTTGTGGATCCAATAGATCTTAGGTCCGACTACCAGCCTGGGGTCTTGCCTCGCCAGGTCTTTAAGAGCGTTGGTGTCGAACGGCATCTGAGTGCCATTGCGGCGAGTGCGACTGAGGTCCATGCAGACGTCAGCGTCCTGGGACAGAGATTCCTCGTCAACGACGTTCATCTAGCTAGTTATAAAGGGCACATACCTGGGTCATACGGGCGGATCCGTACTGACAGAGCGCAAGACCGCCACACAGAATAACCTCCGCTCCTTGGGCCTTTTGTTTGACCCATTCAGCGAATTGATGCGTCGCTTCAAGGAGGATGTGGACGGGAATGGCTTGTTGGCCAGCAGGAGCTGCGACTTGGGTGGGGAAGCGGGTAGACATGATGAAAACTGTAAGAACTAATGCGATGGGCGAGCTAAGCTGGAGGATCTACGGGAAGTCCTTGGACTACTTATACTCTTTGTTGGGCGAGGCTAGGACACTCGGAGCAATGATAGGAGCTCACAGAGCTCATACCAATACAGGCATCCATAGCATATCACGCCTGTCATGGCATTTTGACTCGCTGTATCCTATGCACTCGTTACGGCGAGGTAGGAGAATCTAGCTTCTTTAAGCGATAGTGTCTTAGGAATGAATGCAAGCATCATTGGTCCTCACCGTTTCATCTGTCGATGGTAAGTGTGGCGAGCTATTTTTTGCAACATTTGTCAGCATATTCATAGATGTACCAACCAGCTCTGCATCGCATATTTCTGAGCGTATTGACTGTAGACGACGAGCCATATCTTCGCTCGCTATGTGCGCCACATCGTCGCAGTATCAGTTCGGTACAAGCCAAGAACGGACAGAGTACTCACGACACACAGCTACACGTTGGCTGTGTAGAACAATGGGTGACTCCGTCGCGTTTCGCCGAGTATCTGCACCCTTCGACGATGGACGATGACCAAATCCGGGGTCGGCCAATGTGACGAACTAGGACGGCCGAGAAACGGCTGCCCTGGTTCTCCTAAAGCCTGCTCTGCACCAGTGCACAGACGCGTAGCGCTGACAAGGATCTGATGGTAGGATAATCAATCTGTTGTGTTTTGTATGCACCCGTCCGCTATGACAATTTCGGCCTGGAACACAGCAACGAGAGGTTTAGTCCACACAGCCCGATATGTACAAGTGATAGCTAGATTGCATCACAACGTGTGATGAGGATGCTCTGCCACTTCCTCCGAGCCTCCCACTGTAGCCATCCC